ATTAAATTAATTCCTGTTTCACACGAATTATACTTCGCAGTAAATTCTGCAAAGTTTCTTCAAAATTATACAGTCAGTCTGGTTGATTTTGAGCAGGTCACGTGCAAATCAGATAACAATGACATAACGCTAACAAGCGTGCAGGGTTATAGCTGTGTTGTTTCCCTTAAGTTAAAAATGGAGTATCATAAGCAAGATAACTCATATTCATATTTATATAATTGATATGAATGCGGGATGGGTAACTAATAAATGCTAAAGATGACGAATAATAAGCCCCATCGGGTGACAGCCCACCTGGAATTGATAATATTTGATGTTTCCATTCGAAATTGTCTATAATTGAATATATTTGAATAAATTTATATTAAATCATTACCAATTGAAGATGAATCGAACCTTTCGCCAAAGTAATTGAATTTTTTAAAAAAGATAAGAATGGTACGAGAGGATTTCCTAATTTCAATAAAGACAATTCCTTTCTGGGTTAATGGGTTAGTTAATGCAAAGAAAATTTATGTGCATTAAAATAAGATTAAATGTTTGATGAATACTTCATATCCATTATACATGTATATTACAAACAACACCTTTCAAAGTTTACGATTATTAATAGAAATATTGTGTGTGATGTTTTCTCTTTTAGTTTAACTTTGACGCCTGACCTGTAATCGAAGATTAACGGGAGCATATGGTTTTTGTTCAGTCCGTCTGTCTGTTTATCTGTTAATCTGTTTGTCCGCAAAATCTTTTACGTTGCCAATAAATTTTGAATGGTTGGCACAAGGGCATTTATAATTCACATGTTTATTCCTTAACAAAACCTTTTTTTAGATACCAACACATCTTACCTCTTGACCTTGGAGTTTCAACTACCTTCACAACAATTACCAAACTTTAACATTTGCTATATCGTTTGAAGTATGTGAGCTAAGACTTTTATATTCAATGTGTCCAGACCATTCTTTGGGCCCCAACATATTTGATCTTCCGACCTTGACCTTTATGTTTCACTTGCTTTTGAAAAACTTTTAACCTTTGCCGTAACTTTTGAACCGCGGTTGCGAGGACTTCTATACTTTACATGTGTATTTCTTGTAATAAGACCTTTCTATGGGTACCAACAATTCTACTTCATAACAATGACCTTTGAGTTGAACTACGTTAACCTAGTTTGAAAAACCTATTATAGAACTTCTATACTAGAACGGTTGGGCTTTCCTATTCCACCTATGCATTCCTTGTGAAAAGACATTTCCTTTGGTACCGTTATTTTTTTTTATCATGACATTGACCTTGGAGTATGAGCTACTTATGAAGATCTTTAACCTTGGTCAAATTTTCGAAATGTTTGATCTAGGGCTATTATATATCACACGTGTAGTCCTTGTGACAAGACCTTTCTTTGAGTATCAAACTTTTCTTAAACTCTTGACATTGCCCTTGGATTTGAGCTACGTTTCAAAACTTAAGCCTTGGCCTTGAGTTGCAAAACAAGGAGGGGGGCATCTACGAAAGCCCAGAAGGCTCATTCGAGATTCGAGTTTCGAAATACGAGATTCGAGATTCGAAATTCGAGTTTCGAGATTCAAGATCCAAACTAACCAATCAAAAGGCGGTTTAAGATTCAATTACTCCCCTTTGCTAAGTTTTGACCTTCAAGAAATCGTTGAATATATTCAAACCGAAGAGGTCATTTGATTATATATCAATGCAAGAAAGAGTGTTATATATATCAGAAATTAGAAAAAAAATTGGGGATTTTTGGTCTGCAATATATGCTTAAATTTACATTATAAGTTCTTAAATATTATAATAGATTTATATCAAGAATATCTATATCGTATTATCTACTTTGTTTACAGGTTCGATGTCATAATAATAAATATTGTTAATCGGATTCAAAGAGCAAAGGGGGGTGCGTATTGTAGTCGATGAGAATTACTAGTGTGCAATTAAACAAGTGACAAGCAATTAATAATAAATAGTAATACGGGTTTCGAAGTGGATATATTTTGTGACAAAGTATTAGATTGTGACCGGTGACTAATACAGGTTTCAAAATAAGTGTGCAATAAAAACAAGTGAGGAGCGATTAATTTAATAAGAATGGGATATTGTTTGTGACAAGGTACATGTATAAGAAAGTGACCAGTGACCAAATTTGTGAAACCAAGAGACAGTCCCTTAAGTACGGATGGCTGCTATATACATGCTTAATAAAGATAATGATTTCTCTTTGTTCAGGCCCGTAGGAAATAACAATTAAAAACTCACTGTAACCCCCCCCCCCCCCCAAAAAAAATAAATAAAAAACTACAGGAGGTTTTAACGGTTATTAGACGTTATTTTTGAAAGGACACAACCATGAAGTTGCTATGTTTCCTGTAGTATATTATATAGGTAAAACATAAAAGGGGAATGTGTGTGTGTGGGGGGGGGGGGGGGAAGTGACCAGGGTCCTATGACAATGTTGTTTATTTTATTACAACGGTAGACAAATGTTCAGTTATCAACATTCAGTGTCAATCTTGCGATGCTTGGGCAAAATAATTATATATTCGATAATTACTTATAAGGAAACCGCTCGGGTCTCGCAAGAGGTACATGTAGACAAACACCTCGGCCCAACGACACCTCGGCCCGTCACGTCTGACACCTCGGCCCTGACAGGTCAAGATTATTGACAAGTTGGCCTATATGAAAGACACTTCGGCTCAAGAAAAATTTTATGATAAAAAATATTAATTGAATTTAAGAATTGTTCTATTCATGATACACAAAGAGGTTTATACAACATGGATTGAACCGCAGGCAAAAATGTGCTATATTAGAATTAGCATGATAAATGATGATTAGAGATCAAGGTACAAATGTAACAATGGTATATCCTTGTATATTGTAGTGTTTCAAAGATGTACATATATATGTATTTTAAACTTATTTTTAAGGAGATTACAGAAGAAAAAAAAAAAAACAAATAACTAGATTAACTCAGCGTTTGAATTTATATTATTATTTTTATTCTGACAATAACATGATTTTTTAAATGAAAATTAAATGGCGGGGGTGGGGGGTGGGGGGTGGGGGTTGGTTGGTTGGTTAGATATAGATAATTGTTTTATTTTCCAAGGTCTTTAACAACCGTCTGACAATTAAGCCAGCTCGTAATTTACCCCTCGTTGTCACCAATAGGATACGTACTTGACCCTCAAAGTTCTTGTTTATTTTATCAGTTAGCACTTTAATAATATTGTCCCCTCATTCCTTGATTATCATCAATGTGCTCGTGAAAAGTCTTTTAATATTAATTTAAAAAAAAAAATCGATCCTTCATTGATGTGTTAAATTCATGTATTTAATTCAAGGCGCAAAATTGGAAATATATATAAATATATTTCCTAATGAAATTCTGGTTGGGCCGAGGTGTCTTTTTACGGGCCGACCTGTCTTAAATCTTGGGCCGACCAGCTTGAGCCGAGGTGTCAATGGGCCGAGATGTCTGGCATTCCTCGCAAGATACATAACCAATCACTACACAAGTTTCAATACATGATGTAATGGCCACAGGAAAAAAAGATATAAAAGTATTTAATAATGATAAAAAAAATAACTATTTTAACAAACAAGGGGCCCTCTTTACACCTTTAGGGCTTCGAAAAAATCGTATGGCCTAAAGGAGTACATATTAAAATTACTTAGTTCATGTATGCTTTTTTTAGTGTTCACAGGGTGTCTTGAAAGACATTGTAGTAGTGATAAAGAAAAATCGCGTTCGCTTTTCCAGTGGTGTATATTCCATATAGGCAAAAAGGCTGTAGCCTACACATCATTCTTTTATGTAAAAAAATTATTAATAAATGTATTTGGTTGAAAAATGGGGGAAAGTTAATCATAAATCTTATTTGTTTACCAGTTTCTAGAATATTTTTTTCATCAAATGCAATAAAAGTATTTTTAGCAACCCACACTTTTATGCTTATCCAATTTTTACAGTATACAAAACTTTTGATTTTTATAGCTGGTTAAATCTAAAATTGAAATGTTACCAGACTATTAAAAATGACAGCAACAGGAGTCTACGATTAGGACAGGGAATAGAAATTAGGAAATATGTTTGGGTTAGTAGGAAGTCAAACAAAAACATTTTAAAAATTAGATTATTCAGTAAAGAAGTTTCCATAATTTCCAAGCACTGTGTAAGGATTTTAAAATTTCTCAATTTTATCAAGAGTGGTCATGAAGATTTTAATTTCTGTATTATGAATGATTTATAATTATATTCACTGGAAAAATGACAATGGTAGATGTCTCCAAGATCGCAGAAAGTGGTCCTCCGATCCCCCCCCCCCCTCTATTGGACTCCCTCCTTTCGTACATGTAACCGCAATTCGGCAATGATGCGCTTTAGGTGAAATCTGTGACTTCACATTAGCATACACATTAGCAAAAGGGAATAAACACCACTGTTTCCCAATGGGAGAAATACATAAAAATTAAGTTTTCAATTACTTATCTTGGTTTAAGGCTTTGAATACTTGAATTAATTAAAAATTATATATACAATACAGACTGGTTTATTTTATTCCATATCAAAAAGTAGAACAGTCCAACTGCACAAATGCACCCTTAAATGTAATGAAAAATATCCTTAATTAAATTACTGTGCAGTGTAAAGACGATCCTTAGTACTTCATATCAATAATAATAGGAATAGTGATATGATCCAAGGCAGAAGTAATTCATACAAGTATATACCATAATATTCTGTTTTGGATATAAACAGTTTGATAAAAAATGCACTGAAGGACCAGGAAATACATGTAATGCTGGCCATATTTAATGCAGGAAAGACACACATTATCCGTCCTGTTGTCGCACTTATGTTTAAGCTGAATCAAAGTTCGCAATTAAAAACATCTTCAATCTGTCTAAATGGTTGTTTATATCACTAGTTTATTAATTTTTACATATATTCTACGTTATCAATATTTTCACAAATGGATTATGCATTGGAATTTTCACAGCAATACTGGAAACAGCAAGCACATCTTGAAGCGAGAAAAAGTAAGTTCAAAATGCAATGTTGGAAAAAAATCTATTACCTATTTGGCTTGATACATTTGATAATAAAAGGGTTGTCCAGTAAAATCATGGGCATGTTGTTTAAAGTGAAAAATAATCAATACTGCATTATATTTTTTTTCTATTCTTTAGTAATTATTCATCAATATACATATTAGAAAATTCCAAATAGATATATTCTTGTATAAACAAAATGTGGCATTTCATATTATGCGTGGCCTTACTATATGCGGATGATAACGTCAAACTGTCTATTGCAACGTCATCTTTGCTAATAAAATTTGGATCAACCCCACACAATTCCGGGAATTCCCCTGATGTACGCACTCAGACTCCCCTTTGATTCTACGAAGACAGGTGAGGAACAAACTTCGCACACAGAGGGAACCATCTGAAGTTGCATTAGTATTTTAATTTTTTTTTTTTCCTTCGGACAGTAGTCTTTCTTCATTCAACTTACATGTAAATAACAGGCAATCTTGCGAAATTTTTTGACAACCATATAATTATATATATATATATATATATATAGAGAGAGAGAGAGAGAGAGAGAGAGAGAGAGCAACACTGTATATTTTAATTACTAAAAATGTAAATAGATACAAGGTCACAAAAGGGAATTTTATACAAGGCACTAAAAAATGACCAACGACATGAATAAAAGAAATTGTCAATTTTTCAGGACGCCCTGCCCCTTCCCCAGGACAAAGAAAAAAGTTAAGAAGTCATAAAAAGAAAGGAGATAGAGAAACAACAAAAAAAAAAAAAAACAACTACATGTAGCACTACAACTTAACTACCTAGAATTGTTGAAGCGAATTGTCTGTAAAGTTACACTGTATGGAGAGAATAGTTTTGTTTGTCAAAATCAGAAATTAGATCTAGTCCACGTTCATCTTGGTGCAGTCATTCAGTTTGTTAATACCATTAGGGCGGAATGACTTCAGTCTGTGCAACCAGAACTTTTCCTTGCTTTTTTTCTGAGTGTCTGTCCATCTTGGGTTATGGCCAATGACCACTGCTATCATTTCCTGCCATTTATGACCTTGAGATTGAAATGTTCCCCAACTGCTTCATTGATTTCTTGGTCTTAATGGTCGAACGCTGATTATTTTAAATTCTTATGCGGAGATCTCCTGTTTCCCAAACATACTGCTTCTGACTCAACTTGCAGCTCGGTCGTGGGTTCAAACCCCTGCCGTGACTGTTCTAAGTCGATAAAAGTATTAGCAACCGTTCTTCCAACAAGTCCTCGGCACTTTGGAGTAAAAGTCCTAGCAGGTGTTGGCATGATAAAGATCCCTCACTGCTCAAGGGTCCTCAGTGGCGAGTAAATATCTAAATATGAAGCTCTTCACCAGTATATGGTGACGTATCTATATGAGTAAAATATTTTCGAATGAGACGTAAAATAACAATCGATCAATCAATGAATCAATCGAAATATTACTCACGTATTCTCTGATGAAACCCTGAGTTTTGTTCGTGCACATTCCAGTATAATACAATCCCTATTCCTTTCTTTATTTTTCCAGAAAATTTTAGATATACTCAAATATGACAGATAAATATTTACAGAAATGTTTGGTTTAGTGCATACATTATTTTTCAAAACAAAGAACGTATTGCCTACGATTTTAGCGGACAACCCTTGTAAACTATCTGTTGTAGATCGAGAACGAAGATATCAACAAGGAAGAGGACCATGCAATATCTTTATTCTAGATACGTCCTCAAATCTCGGGGAAGAGGGCTTCATAAAAATGAAAGAGACATTCTGCACAATCATGGATGGTACACGTATTGCAACTGTCTCTATTTTCCATTTTCCTTCTCTTCTTGATCCTCTTTAGCAGTAGGTTTTATGTAAAACTCAAATTCTGAAAGAAAGTCACGTTTGTTTTCACTGGCAAAAAATTTTCAGATGAAAGCGGTCGGATATAAGCAAATTAGTTTGTGTATTAAATCCGCGGTAGTTTTGTCGTACTTTTGGAAGGAATTCGAGTGTTTCCTCCCAAGAATCCATATGTTCACTCGTGATGAAAGTAAATTTGTAGATACTGAAGACGTATAGTTGTCTGGTTTATACATTCTATAGTCCAAATTGACGAAAGTTTTGTATTCTTCACCTATAAAGTTGTTCAAATGATAAGACGATTTTAAAGTTCAGAATTTATTAAAAGTCTAAAATATTATAAATTCACAAATACATTTTAGAAACAACCTGCATTTTACAAAGAATTTAGTAGATTGACTCACATACAAATTCACACACATTTAATCTAATACATTTTAGAAACAAACTGCATTTTACAAAGAATTTAGTAGATTGACTCACTTACAAATTAACTCACATTCACTCCGTCAACTTAAGTATTGACCAGCCAATTAACTAAAGAACAAAAGGATAAGAAAACTAAGGAAATGGAAAACCGTATAATATTAATTTACACGACTGAAATTAGCTAAATCTAAGCTTAACAAATTCAAGGAACACAATTCTAAGACCTAACCATAAAATTGATAGTTCATAACATGGATAACTAGAGACAGGAAAAAGACGTCAAGGATTTGAATTTCTAACATATGCAAAATGCTATTTCCAAACATCAAATGAAACAAAATTCAATTACAGATGTCAAATGAAACAATTAAACTTCAATTAAAGAGATTAAGTAGAACCCAGATTTGATAGAACAAATATATAAAAATGGATTGATAATTAGTAAAATTGTTATTTATAAATCCTTAATATACATTGATAATCATAACAGCACGAAAAGGGTACGTTGGCAGTAATGGACGATAAGAGATGTAAAATTCTACTCAACACCTGCAATTGTCGGCGTAATTATAATAAATGTGGATGATGAACTCTCAAAGGGGTTTAGGGAAACAAACAATCTAAGATTATCCATATACATGTATGGCAATCTTGAAACTCCGATCAACTGAAATAAGCTGTTCTCCGTCTTGAAAAATTGAATTTTTCTTTTATGTAATCAATTGATTACTTGATTGATTTTTAAGTTTCATAATATGCAAAATATCCAGACAATAAATAAGTTTTTTACTTGAATTATTTACATGTATATATTTCAGAATATGCAAAACATCCAGAGATCGATGAAAATGTGGCTGTGTTGATTTGTGGAAAAATAACAACTTTCAAGCATTATTACTCTAATCAGTACAATCGATTAAAGCTTTGTATCGGTAACTTATTTTATATGTTCCATCTCACAATTTTTTCTTAATCAAAATCAAAAAAAAAAAAAAAAATAAAATAAATAAATAAATAATAATAATAATAATAATAATAATAATAATACGAGGGTTGTTCGGAAAGTTCGTGGACTTCTGTCATATCTTTTTTATTTATTTTCACATTATACCCAAATTTGGTAGAAACATTTTAACAATAAATTCAAATGTATTGAAAAAAATTAAAATGTCTTGATTTATTTAAAACTTATTAGGAGTTAAAAACTGCAAAAATTGGTTCGCAGAGGAAGTCAAAATTCAGCAATTTACAAACATTACACTAATTAATTTCTGTAGTCATATCCTCTGTAAAATGGCTGAAAACCAAAATAAATCTAGACCATCAAATTAAGAATTGTTACATCGTTTCATATATTCCAAATTATGACTGAATAGATTGCTTCATGGAAAAGAAATCAATTACTAAAGATAGGTAGTTCTTATTGAAAAAGGCGAAAAAGGTGACGTCGTAGAACGTCACGGAGCAGCAGTTTACGATACAATTTTCTGTTGTACTCTGGAAAACGTCAGAATGAAATCTGAAAATGTTGTAAGAAACATGAAATATCTCAAAAGCGAGTTATGCATATGTGTGTGTAAATGGCCCAGGCGGTGTTTGAATGATAGAAACTCTCTATCAGACGAGGACGATCTATGAGAAAACTGATTATCTGTAAAGAATCAATCCAAAAACGTTCAGTTAGTAATGTCTTGGAAAGAGAAAGGCGTTTCACGGTTGCTGGTCTTGTGAAAGCATAGTTAAGCGGTGAAAAAAGAAAACATTGACAATCAAAATTATGCTACTGGAACAATTGTTAACAAAATGAATTTCAATTGATAGAGACACGTTTGAAATGAGCAGATATTGGACCAGACTGTGTGAAATGTATAGGGGGGATATTCTGTGAATCTCATGACGCTATATTTTTGACGTTATAATATTATTTAGTTTGCTCCGGTGTAACCAAACATGTTGATTTTAAAATAAAGTAAATTGATATCTATTAAATAGAATGGAATGAAACTTCACACATCAACAAAATAAATATTTTTACATATGATAATGTGCTTACATTAAATTTCTTGAAAGTAGTATAACGAGGATTGATTTTGTCTACGAACTTTTCGAACAACCCTCGTAATAAGATCTGTTGATATGATTTTCTTTTTACACTATTTTGAGTTCATTGTTACATAAGTTTATTATTGTGCCCTTGCATTGTATAACGTTGATATTATACAAAAATACCTCTTCATTTATTAAAAAATTATAATTTGTGATCTCAAAATATGTTTGATGCTTTATCCTGTCAAAAAACTCCAGTGCACCCTAAGCAGTTTGATTTGAAAATTAAAAAAATATATATATAGAATTAAAGGATTCTGACGATAATTTTTTGTTCGGATTTCCTAATTTTATCTGTTGTCATAGTAATAACGTTATTGGGGAATAAATTCCAAGTTTAATTTTTCCAAATGTACGGATTCTCGAACTATTTATTGTACGTATACATCTTTCTTTAATTGCTCCAACTATGATAAATACAAAAATATGTAACAAATCTATTCTGCGAGCAACAAATATTCTTTTAAAGATGATGTCGAATATGGTGGACCTTGTCCTCTTACAGCAGCATTTATTTTGTCTGAGGGAGGAATTTGTGAGGGTGCAGGTATTACTCATTATTTAGAGATACATTTTCATTGACAAATACTATAACTTCGTCTCTTGAAAATAAGCATTAAAGATGAAATTTATAAATGCCAAGATTAGAATATATCTTCAAAGCAAGCATTGAAGATGAATTTTATATTGAAAGACAAAATTGTCAAGAAGATCTATCGTAAAATATTTTGGAGTACTTTTGAAATTGTATTCATATCTATGTAAACTGTGAAGATAAAGAACAGTGATTTATTTATTATTTTCTAAAATTTTATTTCAAAGACTTGTTAAAATTCATTTCAGGCTACTCAAAGATGACGGGGCATTTTCACATACATCCACGTCTTATTCTTATTTCTTCTGGGAGACCTACGGATTTTACCGCGATGAATGACTTTAAAAATATGGCAGCACATAGCCCCGCTAAGGTTTAAGAATTTTATCTTGTGATAACCAAATTTTGATTTCAGTATGAAAGATAATTGTTTGTTTGTACAAGGTCCTATTGAGAATTTTTACTCATATTGAAACGCAACCATTTCCCGGTGAAAGGTTGCAAATTTAGACCTGTACTCGGGACTTACGGCTTTTGAGCAGTGAGAGATCTTTTTTTTTGTACCAGCACGTAATGCGACACGGGACCTCGGTTTTTTGGTCTCATCCAAAGAACCGGTCTGTGTGTCACCCAGCGGATTCGAACCCGAGACGTAAGGTTCAACTCCTTTCTCTGCGGCTCTAGAGCAAAGTTTTAAGTAAACGTTCTACTCACTCTCACCACTGAGACGAGACACCCGGGCGAGCAGTATGAAAGAGCCTTTTTAATCTATTTTCTATATCCTAACAAACATTCTTGCACACCCAAACAGGTAATCTGTCAATATTTTTAAACTGTAATGATTTAGCAGAGTGAATTTCACTTACTGAAAATTAGGTATTTTATGCTCAGGTGAGAGACCATTTGTATCAGATGGCAAGAAATATAGGACGATTCCATCCAATTTTTTGTATTCCAGTCGGTAAACGTCCTGACATGGTAGGTTTACTTAATTATGTTTCATGTTTCTTGCAGTTAAATTCAATTCCAGAGAATCTGTGATCAAGACTTAATTTAAAAACTTGTTAATGAATTATAGAGAATATGATTTAAAGAGAATTAATAAAGATTGTTTTTCAGACATATGCTTATACATTCATGTGTTTTCTTCATTTTCACATTCTTTTCTTATTAAACGTGTTATTATCATGAAATTTTGAATTCATGATCATAAAATGTTGCTTTTTTCTAAGACAAGAAAAAAGAAATTTAATTTACCAAAGAGAAACTAAATTGTTTTCTTGTCTTCGACTTTTTGGGACAACCTCCATAGCGCAATGAAATGTATTCCTTCAGCACAAATATTTCCTAATTTGATACGTAAATGCTCCATGTATATATTTTTCATAAAAAGTTCAATGTTTTTGATTAGATGTGGAATAAATTTTATGCGTGAGAAAGATTTTTTAAATATATTTTCACAAATGTGAAGCATGAGCATTAATATAAAAAATTCTCTTGAAATAGATTCAGGGTCCAAATACAAAATAAGTTCATTATAGTCATTTTGATCATTTTGTCGCAACGCACATGTGTACGCTTTTATGTCATTAATGAGACTGACCATTTAACACGGCTCTTAGAAAAAGAATTGAAGAAACTTTGGCTGTTTTACTATGATTTTTGATGCTTTCTTCACTCCTGCAATTTATAGGGAATATTTTTTTAACTCACTTTGCGATGGGAATGACATTTTGCCACGAATATGTTCACACTTTGAAAATATTTATTATTTTCATTTCGTATTTTCACACTGTAAAAATATCACTCATACACGACGGATAAATACAACGTAACTGTATATCAATCTACAAAATGTAACGAATTCCGGCAATATTTTACTAATGTAATTATGTATATGTAAACATATTTTTAAAGATTTGCTATGAAATTAAAAAAATGTATAACGACTTTTAACAGGCAAGTTTAGGATTTATCTCTGCTCTTTCAAGAGGAGGAAAGATTGTTCATCCATTTGAAGTCAGACAGTTTGCAAGATTTTCAGAAAATATGGTAAAATGAAAATTATTATTTAAAAATAATAAATGTGTGTAACAAATCATCATCTGCCAAGATTCCATCGTCTATTATACATTCCCTTATATAGACGTGGCGTTTTGATTATTTCACTCAATTAATTTTTCACAAAAAGTGTAACAAAGTGTAACAATCGAATTAGTTTTCAAATCAGAAAATGAATTGAACATTTGACCATTACCAATCCCAAGAAATGATATAAAGTGTTCGGTGTATTAATTAACTTGATAGACCTTTGAACGTACCTTTGTACATCCCTTTTTGGGTCATTATGATTATATTTTCTCAACTGATATTTTTAATCCAAATTTCTGCCCAAAATACATGTAATTTGAAAACCTAACTACCAGTGAAAGTAACGTTTATTTCAGAAATTAAATTAATTTTTTGAGAATTCATGTGGACATGAACTACGACGCTTCACGCCGGCATTTTTCATAAAGTGTGTTAGCGCTTCATGATAAATATGCAGGCGTGAAGCGTTGTAGTTCATGTACCTCATGGAATCTCTGAAATAAAAATTCATATCTTATATTTACCTTATTTTTCTGATGACTTTCCACATGTTTTTGTCATTCAACGATCATTTTTGAGGAAAAAAGAGATTGCACTATTTTGGACTTCAATTACATCACGATGGAAATATTCTTATTCATCCCACGGTAGTTCATGAGAACGGGAACTTATTTCAAATTTGAAAAGAATCTTATGGAAAAAATATTTGGAAATGCAAATAATATATCATATTAAAGTAAAATCATAAAGTTACATTGCTATGAATATCTTCTAAACTGATAATGTTTTGATCCAATTTTTTGTCCAAAGTACATGTGATTTGAAAAGCTTACAGTAAAGTTTATTTTATTATATTAAGGTAAAATTATTTAGCTACATTGATATGTTATCTAATAAAACTTAATATAATATTATACAGAAAAAGAGTTCAAATCTTTATATTTGATATACCGTTAAAGGATTCATTATGTCCTTTTTAAGATTATCATACTGATTTTTCACACTTTAAATTAAAAAAGTTGGATTTTTTCAAGTAAAATACGTTGGTTCAAGATCAATATTTTGCGTTTCAGAAAATTGCTGCAATATTAACATTTTCAAATACCTTCGATATACTAGATAGAGGGACGGTAATGCAGCTGATGTCTCAAGCTATGCCCGCGAGGGAATTCACCGAAATGGATAAGGTTTTTGCAATTTTTATGAATATTTCCTGTCTGCAATAGCAAAATAGTTGTTTTACTCCTCAAAATAACTTAGAGTATGAGATAGAACACACATCATTCTTAAGTAAATTTTACAGTGAATCATTGTAGGACGATATTTTCGAAATTTGTTCATTGAAATCAGTATTTATATCAATGGATGAGATCCAAGCTGAGAATGAAAAGAACGAGGAGCAAAATCTCTTCCAATTCATGGATCCCAGTATGCCACCCTTAGGAAGTAGAGTTAAAAGAGGTCCAGATTGGATGTGGAAAAACCAGGATCAACGCGGCCCCGGAACAGTAGTTGCACATTCCGATGATGGTAAGCTAATTCTCTTTTTTTGCGATTAGATATGGTAAAGGGGGGGGGGGGGGATTGTTTGATTTTGTTGAAATCAACAGTATTAAATACTACAGTTAGTTTTAAAATATAAAAGTGAAACAGACCAAATGCAATACGATGATCTTTTAGAAAATACAGTTTAATGAATCAAAAAATACATATAAGATATACAATTTGATAACCGTCTCCCGTAATTTTGCGAAAAATTTTACACTTAAGAAAATGAAAGAAATTTTATGAAAAGGAACAAAATAATAAGTTTCAATTAATTGTAAGATTTTTGTGAAAAGGGCCAAAAGTATCTAGAATAAGTAAGCATCTCCAACTTCATGGTCACATCAAACAAGAGTGTGTTGATCAGATAAACGGAGAAATCTTCTAATCGAAATGAGTATACACAATGACCTAACAATTTGTATGAAACATGTCGGTCAGAAAACGAACCAATAATGTTTATCATTTGCGTACATGGTCATTATAACGACCATAGAATTTATTAAATACTCAATATTTCTATCGAGATTGTATTAAGTCCTGAGCATAAACTTACATGTATTTTTCATAGTCTGTTCAATTTAAAATTCATGCAACTGAGATCACTTTTGTTAACCATATGAGTTTGGAGACGACAACATCAAATGCAGGTGAAGTTCTGAATACAAGTATTATGAAACAGGGGAAGTTAACGGTCGAAAAAACTGAAGTTAGTAAAAAATAAAAATCTAAAAATGAGACTTATTTGGTTCTTATTTTCAATTTCACCAAGATATGTGTAAATAAATGAAAGAAAATATTGTTAATTGACGTAACGTCGTTGTATAGTTGAATATCTAAAGTCGAATTGAAAGCAAGAATTTGCTTCTCATGTTGATGTTTCTGATTAAAATCGAAGTTTGTTTTACTCTAATTTTATTAATAAAATAATTTTTGTATTTCATTCAATTACCATAAAAGATTTTAATGACAAAGGTAGCATGACATGTACTTCTATACCTAAATTATCTTAGATATATATTAGAAACTCAAACAAAAAGGTAGATTCACTAACTCCATAAAATGGCCCTGTCCATAAACCAGTCAACTGAGTCCGGGTGTCCCATTTAGAACATTAATATAAAGTAGAGACTATGTGCTTTCATTTTCAATAAAAAAAATTCCCCTGAGAGTCCAAGTATTGAAAAACAGACTTTGTGAAACAATATTCTTGAATTTTGAAGAAAATGAGTGAATTTGAGCATTTTCAACTAATATTTAAAATATGAGCCCACCCTGCGATCAAAAAAAAAAAATTCTTGGATAAGAATTTTCTGAAACAGTTCTTTCATGATGTAATAAAACATTTTAGAGTAGAGGTTGTGTGCTATGTAAAATATTCAAAAACAGCTAACATTTCTAGCCATTTTTAAAGAAATTTTCAATATTTGAGGAAAATAACGCAATTCATGACGTCATAAGTCATGGACTAGAGAGAAAATTACGTCATTTTTAATTGATATACAGTCATCAGGGGTTCAAGTGAAATCTAACAAATTTTCAACTAAAACTGAGCAGTTCTGATTTTTTGGTAACTCTCAGGGCCAAAGAAGACTTTTCGTAAACCTTGTTGCTTCAAAAGGAAAATTTCAAAGTAAATAAAAAATGTTCGTTAATCATTTAATAGGTAAATGAAAGTAAACTATCAAATTGTCAGAGAATATCGAAAAAATGCATAAATGTCTATTATAGTACATGTATATATTGTTAGGGTTTGACTGAGAAAGAAAAATATCTTTGTCTGCTAAGCTGAGTGTTTGTTTTTATCGAATTGTAAACAAACTACGGATTATATCAAATTAAGTTGCAAGACTAAGTTTTTCCCCTTTTTTATTATTTAAATTTATTAAGTTACCTGTTATTGCTCTTTTACAAATAGCTGGATGGTTGATTGTGCACTGGGACATTGGCACTTCAGCAAGTTACAGATATGGAACAACTACTGCTGAAAAAGATAAATACGATATTGTTGTTTGCCTAGAACCACGAATATTACACAATGAACTAATTGCTGTTGGATGTTTGGTAAGAAGAGGTAGGTTAATAAAGAATCTTGTGTAAGAAATCGACATCAATTTCAAAAATTTTGCATTAAAAATAATGCATCTTTTATTAAATAAATTTAAATTATGCACTCTTACAAACATGTTTCGATAGATGGGTTTAAATTAAAAGAAAAATAAAGAAATAAAATTTAAAAAGTAATGAAATAAGAAAACCTTTAAAAAATTCTTCTGTTTTAGAATATACGTCATACAATGACCTTTTGTTAAATTACATGATGCAACTGAAAATCTACTTAACAAAATGTTGAAGCCCTTACCCTACCTTTGCTTTCTGTAACAATAAATTATTCATTGTCCATAGCTAACTACGCAATCAATGCCGAAAACAATTCCAGTTCTCCTCAGTTTTTTCCCTTATTTTTGATTATTTTATAATTTTATTAAAAGAATTAAAATAAATCAAAACCATCCCTTTTGTGAGAGAAAAAGAAAAGAACTCGTTCTGGGCTTATGTCTGCGATCACTTTTTCATCTTGAACCATTTTCGGCCTTTTTTCCCGTTCAAACACATGACTTCACTAAGGAGAGTATATGCAGACAATTTTTGATATATGTTTTGTTTAATTTCATTTCAAAGAGAGAAGAAGAGAGAGGATGGATATGTTCTAAACCTTAAATGATTTGAAATTGAATCGTTTTCTAGGTCCAGATTGGAATTTTGGCGATCAAGATGGTGGAACAGGAAGTATTGGTGCAGTGTATAAAGTAAAACCAGACGGAGTTGTTGACGTACGAAAATAAATTCTAATTCATTTAATTTTTTGTGTAAGTTTTGATATTTTTACCAGGAAATGAATGTTTTAAGACAGAGAAATGAATAATTATAGTTCGTTTCTGCATTATTGAACAGGTTAGCTGGTCAAATGGGAGCAAAGGAAACTACAAATATGGTTCAGAAGGAGAGTTTGACTTGACTTTATGGTAATTATATGCAAGAGATTTAAGCAGTATATTTTAAGATACTAAAGGAATTATTACAAAAAGTATTGTATTTTGTATAAGGTGGTATTTAAAATCCATCTGCGTGGACCACAATGCATATAACGTCTTATTTCGCTTTCAGTGATCCTTTCTCACCGGAGGCACAAATTTATTTGAAAGAGCAGAGGGGACGCGCTGCCTCTAAGCTTTCCAAATCATTACAGTATATCTATTGCGATGCTACAGCTGAAGGTACATGAGCTAGCTTTATTACGATGAAATTGTCAGTTTACATTGTATTTATTTCGTATTGATAAAACAGAAGATAAAAAGTTTTGGATATCAATTTTCAAGCAGACTGTGATGGTACAGCAAACAGAAAAATGGCTCAAAATCACGAAGTGGCCAAAACAGTTTTAGTACTCAAAACACCGAAAGGACGATATTTTAAGAATGACTCTATAGATGATGACATACATTCGGATATAGAAGAAGATTGTTCTGCTGTAGAGACACTATCTCTTAATTGTGATCACTGGTTATGGAAAGATAAAGATGGAATCTGGAATCATTATCCAAAGAAGATAAATGACAAAATCATGAAGTGCTACAAAAGAAGTCCTAATTCTACTGTTGTGATCTTATTCAAAGAACATCTGTAAGATTAAACTTTCTTTGGTTTTTTTTCCGATAATTATTAGACTTTCGTAATGGCTAGTATGATAACACTTCTTCTCTTCAGCTGAAATAATATATTTAATATGGTTTAAAAAGTTAATTTGAATAACTGAAATCTTTTACCCAAAACAGTTGGACCTGTATATTAAAAAAACAAGTTTTTTACTTTAAAAGTTGTAAAGAATTAGGAAGTCTCTTTTCAAAGTACGTTATTTTCTTTTTTTTTCAGATACAGAGTACTTTTCGCGAAAAGTATCCAGATTAACTTGACAACAAAGGAAAAAACTGATGTAAAATTAGTAAAGAATGAGTAAATGTATCCAAGGTTATACACGTGACGTTTATTCATAATTTTCAATTTGATCGGAATGCCATTAATTTACTAGAAATATGACATCATGATCATGAAGTTCACCTTTTCTCACCATTTTGGCATATTTTCATAAAATTGATTATTTTCAAGCAGATTTTGTTTCCAGAAAATATTGAACGCAGACTTGAACAAACTTTATATTTTCAGCACAGATGTATCAATCTTTTCAAGATTAATTACTGACAGAAACATTTTCCTTGTTTAAAGATGCGCTCTTTATTTTTCCAAAGAAAAAATCTTACGTTGATTGGATTGCAAAAATAGCATCATTTCTAAATTCTTTACAGTGAGTACATATAATTGAGACAAATGTATTGAAAGTATCTCGAATATAATTTTTTTCTACGAAAAAACCACATTAAACATACTCACATTTTAAAATGATAATTTTTGGGAGCCAAATTGACTCATTATATACAGTCCTTCATTTCAGACCTGAACACCTTTGTAAGCAGTTATCACTTGGATCTTATAAAAATGTAATTACTTGTTTTTTTTTCTACTCACCTTTGTGGACATATATAAAGGAAGAACAATTTGTCAAATCTTTTTATAATGTAATTTATTAAATTTAGAGAAATTATGTCACATTGTGAAATAATACAAATATGATATTCCGTCACAGTGTGAAAGAATATCAGAAGTGCGACAAAACTCCAGATGTTCCTTTTCTTAACGAAGAGTGTTGTAAAAATTGTTTTCTTGTCTGTTATAAGATGGAGAGAGTAAATAAACCATCCTGAAAGAGACTAGAACTGTAAAAAAAAATCTCCAAATTTGTTGTTGAAATCCATGTTTACAGTGTTTTCAATTTCACAATCGCTAAGCTATGACGTCTCAAGCCTTCAACTATGATGTCACAGCCTATGACACTTTGTTACGAAAAGACAGAGGCAAATGGCAAATCAAAGAAAATGTAATGAACAGAAAATTCTATATTTTATAGTTGAATATGGAAATTATTTCACTCACGAGACAAGATTTTTTGATATTTTCTCTCTTGCTTTGCACTCGTGAAAATCTCAAAATTCATTTCCCATTCGTGAAAGAAATGTCATATCCAACTACAAAACATTGAGTATTCTCTCTATATGTGTATATATTTCAATAAGAGAAAAATAAATAGAATTGACATACGAAAAGTATATAAGTGTAAGTTTACTTCAGGGACATCGTCAGGTAACAGTTAATATAATGAAAGTGAACAAAACTAAAAATAAGGTTTTTTTGTCCAAACCATGTTTTCTTTATATCCTCCCCTATTACAGGGTATTTTAGCAAGGCAGTACTTTGAGCTGTCCTTCATTTATTGATGTTGATTGCCTTTTTATGCACCATTTTTCAGTAAAAATTGGTGTATTCTATCGCATTATTACGTCTGTGTTGTGTGACAATATTTTCGCTGGGAGACTACTGTTGCTAAATAATGTTATCAGCGTGCATTTATAGTCAGAAACAGTGCATATATCATCAATCTTCCTTTGATTTGATTTATTATTTATTTTTGTACATTTGCAATACTTTTTAACTTAAAAACAAACCAAAACTGCAAATAGTGAGCAAAATGATGATTGTTAAAATTATTTTGGACATGAACATCTGCTGGTGTTGGTGATGATGATTATGTTTATCATTAAATAGTGAATGAAAGCTAGATAAGAAAATAAAACTATGACAGCTTTTGATACATTGACAAAGTCATTACATAAATTTTTAATTTAAAAAAATATCAAAAGTGGTGTATCGGATCAAAGAGAATAACTGCATGCTGGTACAGAGTTATATGAATTATTATTCGCATTGCAAGCTTAATGCACAAGGACCATATGGAGTGGAAGCAATTTCTTGAATATATTTCATTACAAGTTTTCAACAGGCATGATGATAGTAAAAAGACCATCCACTAACAAGATCGGCCATGTTGTAAATGTAATAACAACGGAAAATTTATTTATTGAAGGACAATTTCTACGTTGTTAATAAATTACATGTATCTTTAATTTGCTGCATGTCCATTTCCAATTGATATGTATATAAATAGAAGGAAAATAATGAAAAATATCCCGACGATCCAAAACATTTCTTTGAAAAAATAAAAATTGACCCAAAGAAATGTAAAATAATTAATCAGTACCCTTAATCGGACACAAACTAAAAACGTATTGTTCTATTGTGACAACCACAATCAATATTTTTATATTTCATAAAAAAAATTCCAGAATTTTAAAGAGGCCAATCAATTGCTTGCTTGTGAACAATTTATATATTAAGTCATGAATTGAAAGTGCTCCTTTAATCTGTAAATTTCTCCTGAGAAATTGATTTAATGCTGGGTCAGTAAAAAAAATTCGACGTCTTCCTTACTTTATTAGTTTGCAACACAAAAAACTTCAATGTTGTATCATTATAATTTAAGTGTTGCAAATGTTTGAACTGGAATATGAAGCTTTCAGTGATTACAAACTTTTGTTTATCTACATTTTCTTCCCTTGGCAAGCTTTCAGATAAACTTATGAAAACTCTGCACATAGAGTATAGCAGACGGAAATGAAAGGGAAAGTTTGTTCCGTCCCTCAAATTATTTTCATATAATAGTACTATTAAAAATGGTAACAAACTTTTTCCTAGAATCTGTTGAAAACGGAAATACAAATATGATTGAATCATGTATAGTTTAAATTACAGATATTAGAAACATTCCGTACTAAAGTAAGAGGTAAAACAAATTTGTTTTAGATTTCAATTGTGTTAATTTATGCATAGATTTATCAGGTTTGAGTGGACAGTCTAAAATTTCTTTTTTTTACGGATGGATTTTGGTTTGAAAAATGGCGAAAAGTATTGGAAGGAACAATCACTCATTGATGCTAAAAATAGTAAGTGTTTCCCTGTACCAATCCATGAAATGGATATTTTATTCAATAATTTAAATTATGAATGTTTTTAACAACATGTTAATAGTGCTTACTATACTTTTGTAAAGATCGTGATCGTAGACAACAACATGGTAAAGGACCTTGTAATATATTCATACTCGATACCTCCTCAAGTCTTGGTGACGAAGGCTTCATGCAAATGAAGGAAACATTTTGTACAATAGTAAATGGTGAGATATGTTACAGAATATAACAGTTTGCAGACATCTTTATTTCAAAATTGAATGCTTGCCGATGTGTAAGCACCATAATAGAAACAAGGGATATCTAACACTATAAATTGCATAGAAGTTCCATCAAGCACATTCTTTTTATTTTAAAAAAAAGAAATAATAATGCTTCTAAAATGACGGCATAAATACATAATCTATAGAAAAATGTTCATTTTACAGAGTATGCAGATCACCCAGATGAAGATGAAAACGTGGCTGTCATTGTTTGTGGGAAATGCACCAGATTTCAACATTATTTCTCAAATCAGTATTCTGATTTGATAAAGTGTCTAGGTGAAAAAAAAATTAATGCTATACATTATACCCTCTCATCATCCCTTAATTAATCAATAAAATGCTTAGATTCTACAATGAAGTTCATATGATGCAACGTTTAATTCACTCAATGTTATATATATGCTGTCCTGGAAACACTTACAAATACTGCAATTTACATGTTCCTGTAAATTATAGTTCAAGTGTGAATAATTCACATTCAATACTACAACGTATTTTATCATCCTGTATATCCTTCGGAATTTTCCCCTTTGAACATGATTATTAAATTTGAATTTCGGAATAAATGAAAATCATCTGAATAATTTATTATCTTTTACTATTTTTGTTTTCAGAAAATGTTGAATGTGAAGGTTTATCCCCATTAACAGCAGCGTTCCTACTTTGTATTGAATCCACTAACGATGAAGCAAGTAAGCTGCTTAACGAAAAGTAAAGATGTTTTAAATGTACATTACAATGCATAACGTTTTGCTTTACTTTTACTTATATATATATATATATATATATATATATATATATATATATATATATATATATATATATATATATATATATATATATATATATATATATATATATAATTTTATATATAGGTCATGCGTTGAAGATGGGGGACTTTAATGTTCGTCCTCGCATAATTCTTATTTCGGATGGTCGTCCTACAGATTTCTATATCATGAGTGATGAAAATGACTCATCGTTCAATGAAACAGATCAGGTATTTTGAAAAAAAAATAATAAAAAGATCACTAACTGTTTAAATGTCATTAACGGTAGTGGTGGAAAAACAAATTATTAAGAAAAGGTAAATATTGTAGGCAAAAGATCATCTTCATCAGGTAGTTAGACGAGTTGGAAGAAGAAGCCCTGTGTTTTGCATACCAATAGGAAAAAATCCTGACATGGTTTGTAATTTTCTTTGATGTGTCAACAAAAAGTCAAAGTTACCAAACTGCTAACTTACAACTAACATTAATTGATTCTAGATATACCTAAGAGTTTTTATGTGCTTTGTCCAGAGGTGGGAAGATAGTTCATCCATATGAAGCCAGACAGTTTGCAAGATATTCCAGAAATCTGGTATTTGAAAATGCCTTTTTTATTTACATATGTTCCTGAAAAGAAAAAAGAACTCTGTAATAAATTCATATCCCTTTCTGCTT